ATTAGCCTCTTAAAAGGCAGCATACATGTTGAACGCTATTTGTTAAAAAATGTGGAAGCATTATTATTTTCAGTTTTTAAAAAATCTTACAAAATTGTACAAATTACAAAACATTTCATAACACTGTGAAAGAACAACCTTTACATTTATATCAAAATGTCTCACAGTTGCCGAGGAATGATGATTCTGTTCATTCAAATCCTTTCTGTTACAAATACCCTTAATTACAATAAAGACAAAAATAACAGAAAACGTAGTAGAGAACTCAAAAAGAGCACAATTTCAGTAGCACCTCACTGTAAAGGGTTAACACCAATCCAAGCTTCTGAACAATAAAAGTGGGGGGTTGGCGAGTGCCCTAGTGGGCTTTGCTCCTTTTTCCAATTAAACAGCTATCGTCCCAGTCCTCCCCCCTCCTCCTCCTTTTATGTGTATGCCACTTTCTTGTAACACCTCTGGTCTTCGACACAAGTATTACTAAGTTGTGTTGCAAGTGCCGTAAAATCCTTACAATAATAAAAACTACAAGAACAATTAGGAACCATTAAAGAAACTTACTGAACCAGTGAGCCGCCCGTTGTTGGTCTGTTCTCTTCCTCTAGTGCGAGGTGTGCCAGTATCCGAGCAAACGTCAAGGGAGACCATTCGAATGAACGTAGTAAAGGCGGGACTCGCCACGATGGTCCCAGGCCTCCAGCGTAAGTGGACACTTCCGGCCGTCTCTCCAACAAGGAAGGGCGACACAGAAAACGTTCTGTCGCTACGAAACATTCGGTTAAGCGAGATGCACACTCTTTCAATTTTGTTTTGTCGAAGGATAAAAAATTGGTTCTTTCAGTTCCGAAATTTGTGATAATCATACATACCATGTTTTATGGGTTTTACTTTCTTTTACAAAACATGGCAATATTTTCACAGGGGATCATCAAGAAGTTGAACTCTTATCTCCGTAAGGTAGTAGTCAATATTTTAGTGTGTTTGTGTGTGTGTGTGTGTGTGTGTGTGTGTGTGTGTGTGTGTGTGTGTGTGTGTGTGTGTGTGTGTGTGTGTGTGTTTTTGGCACTTTTAAGAGCCCAGAATGACCACATATTCAAACTTGTCTGATCGTGCCCAGTTAGTTCTTTCCATTGTTGAAATGCCATACACCTTCAGCCTGCACTTTGCCATGCCTCAAAGATCCATGCTTGGACCACGTTTGTACACACTATACACAGAAGCTCTTGGATCAGTAGTAAGTAGGCATGATCTTAATTAATTACCACATGTGCTCGGACTTCTTTAAATCTGTTTTAACAATAAATTATATATTTGTCTAATAGCCAGAATGGGACAAATGCATTGTCAATGTAAAAGTACTAGATTTAATTAAGATGAATGATGACAAGTACAAAGTCATGTTTTGCATGGTCAAACCAGGGATATTGCCAAGCAGTATGGACCATACATAAAAGGGCTGAGAACATCGTTCTACAGATAAAGCCAAATCGATTAGGGGATTAGTTTGACTGCAAACTAGCTATGCATCATCATATGAACTATCTACGTAAAGAGAATATTTTGAACTAGGCAGAAGAGGATAGATGCCAACGTATCCTTTTATCGATTCCATTGAAACACGCATCGCATCTTTTGTTCTTTCACGTCTAGACCACTTTTGTTGTTGTTTGTTTATTTCTTTGTTTGTTGTTGTTGC